AGCCGTACTCCCGTTCGCCTCTCCTCCTCTCCGCTGGGCAGTGCACCCCCAGGGTCAGCCCCCGCCCCCGCGCGTTTCCTTCCCCGGCATTGCACCCTCAGGGTCAGCCGGTCTCACCGTTATCCTTTCCTGCTCGCCGCCGGGCATTGCACCCTCCGGGTCAGCCCTCGTCCTCGGTCTTTTCCTGCCCCGGCATTGCACCCTCAGGGTCAGCCGGCCCCCCCGTTCGCCTCTCCTCCTCTCCGCCGGGCAGTGCGCCCTCAGGGTCAGCCCATGTCCACCCTCTTTTAATATTGTATTGAACATGTCGTAGCCATTTTGGCTCTTGGCTCAAATATCTTTGTGCATTTGCGACGAACTGTTGTTGGAGAGGCTTTGCGGCCGGTGCCGCCGACCCTGAACGACGACGACGACGAGCGCTCTCGGGAGCCTCTCGGGGGTAGTTCGGCGGCCTCTTGGGAGGCTCTTGGGGTTTCTTGGGAGCCTCGTTGGGGCTCCATGATGATGATGATGATGATGATGATGATGATGATGAGAATGATGATGAGGAGGATGAGGAGGAGGAGGAGGAGGAGGCGGAGAAGAGGAGGAGGAGGAGAGAACAATGAGAACGAGGAGGAAGCCGGGGGGCCCGCAGCAGCCCAAGAAAACTTCCAAGAGGACGCTGAGTTTTCAAGAGCGGCTGGCATTAATCTCAAGGATTCCTTGCGTTTCATGCGACATAACGAGATGCGCGAAAACTCTCAAACAGTAGCTTTTTCCTGATAATCTACTTTTTCGTGTCGGAGGGCTTCTGCTCTGGATATGGATTTCCCCATGTATTTTGCACGATTGTGGCTGTGCGCATTGAAAACTGGAGCGGCCGGTTGTTTGGTTGGCTCCAGCATCGGGGATAGACATACACGGCGACAGCTCTTTGGGAATGCCACCCCAAGGCGGCCCCCAAGAGGTCCTTCCCGGGTGCTGGGGCGTATTGCAATCGTCGCTTGCTTTAATATTGTATTGAACATGTCGTAGCCATTTTGGCTCTTGGCTCAAATATCTTTGTGCATTTGCGACGAACTGTTGTTGGAGAGGCCTTGCGGCCGGTGCCGCCGACCCTGAACGACGACGACGACGAGCGCTCTCGGGAGCCTCTCGGGGGTAGTTCGGCGGCCTCTTGGGAGGCTCTCGGGGTCTCTTGGGAGCCTCGTTGGGGCTTCCTGGGCGCCCTTCTGGCGGAGGGCTGGATATGTTCGTTCGGGTCCCCCGTATGGGCTCCCGCTTGGAGCCGTCCTCGGGGCCTCCTGGGCCGTCTTGGGGGCCTCTTGGGTTTGTGGGGCCGTCTTGGGTCGTCTTGGGGCGATCTTGGGGGCCTCTTGGGCTGTCTTGGAGCGCCAGAAATTGTCCAAGGAGGGCGCTGTGCAGGCGCTTGCGGCAGATCCGAGCTTGCCTCTTTGCTCCGCGCCCTGGGTTTCTGAGTAGGCCAGCAGCCTTGTCGTTTTCCCGCACCGCCCTAGGATTCTGGCCCCCGGGTCGGCCTCCTCCTTTCCGCCGGGCATTGCGCCCTCGGGGTCAGCCCCTGTCCTCGCTGTCTTCCTGCGCCTGCATTGCATCCTCCGGGTCAGCCGTGCTCCCGTTCGCCTCTCCTCCTCTCCGCTGGGCAGTGCACACCCAGGGTCAGCTCCCGCCCCCGCGCGTTTCCTTCCCCGGCATTGCACCCTCAGGGTCAGCCGGTCTCACCGTTATCCTTTCCTGCTCGCCGCCGGGCATTGCACCCTCCGGGTCAGCCCTCGTCCTCGGTCTTTTCCTGCCCCGGCATTGCACCCTCAGGGTCAGCCGGCCCCCCCGTTCGCCTCTCCTCCTTTCCGCCGGGCAGTGCACCCTCAGGGTCAGCCCATGTCCACCCTCTCTCCGTTGGGCCGTGCGTTCTCGAGGTCGGCGCGTCGGCGCCGTCGATATCTGCACCGTGCCTGTTGCCCGTCGCACCGCTTTTGGAACTGAATCGCCACGGAGCAAGCCCCAACCGTCCTCATCCTCATCTTCCTGGGTTCCGCCGTCGTCCTCCGTTTTTGTTTTTTGGCTCGTGGCTGGGAGCGCGCGGGCGCGACACTAACGCGCACGTCCACGAAAGGGGCCGCGCGGCTTTTGCACTCCCAGAGTCAGCCGCGCGGCCCCTTGGCTGCCCGGCGCGTGCTGATGGCCTTGCAGAAGTCCATTGCCGCGTTCCCGCTCAACAGGCCAGCCCCGGGGTACACCGCTCGACTGAAGTGCGTGTTCTTCGAGGCGAAGCAAGTGCAGCATTTCGCGAAGGGCGTGGGGCGTTTCCTCGACCACACTGGTGCACCCATTTGGTTCGAGCTCACTGGCCAGTCTACCCAGGACGTGTTGATGAAGGCGCGCCTGTACCTCCCGGGCAAGGCGGGGACATTCAGCAACGTGACGGTGAAGAGCAGCTCGTACTACAGCGGCGGCCGCGTGATCAACCTGAACCCGAAGTCCAACGTGCGCTGCGTTGCCCTGGCGGGCGCCGACGCCTCCCAGCTACCTTCGGGGCCCGTGGCGCCTCGCGGGGGCCTGCGCGACGTGGGGATGTGCAACGACGGGGGTCGAGTAGACGTCGTGGGCCGCGTGGTGGAGCAGAGGGCAGTGGCGTCGATCAAAAAGATCGAGGTCTGGCTGAAGGACGAGGAGAGCGGCAAGTCCATTATCGTGGAGCTGTGGGGCGACACGTTCTACGACATGGTGAAGGAGGCCCACGGCCTGGGAGACGTTGAGGAAGAGGCAGACCCCGTCGTGTTGCAGGTGGAGAACGCGCGCGTCGTGAGGAAGGAGTCCGGCCAGGTCCACCTGACTGCCGAGTTCTTCAAGGATTCCCAGAACGCATGTGCTTGGGCGCATTTGCAGCCGCGCCACCAGAAGGCCGAGGAGCTGAGAGCCCTGAGCGCCACGGTGGGCGAACGCATGTCTGCGGTGTGGGCCCCGAGCGGCGCGGTGGTGCGCATGCAGAGCCCGAAGCAGGGTTTGTACAAGACTTGCCTGCGCACATTGAAGACCTGCTCCCTCTCGTGGACGGAAAGTGCCGACGCAGCAAGCCCGCCGAACGCCGTGATGGAGGCATCCACCCAGTCGCCCGTCTCCGGGGGCCGGCCACTGCCCGCCGAGGTGCAGGTAGAGGTGCACGGCGCGTGGCTCACGGGCGTCTCCAACCCCGACCCCGCGTACGCGAAGTGCAAGCACTGCCGCACCAAGATCAACCCGGAGGGCAACTGCAAGCATTTCATGAAGCACCGGCCAGAGCCAGACACAAACAAATCCGCTTTGAGCTCTGTGACCCTGGGGGATTTCACGGGCGGCATGGACGACATCTTGGCGGACGAGAACAGCCTGGTCGCGCTCGCCGGCGTCGCGAACCTCGACGAGTTGCAGCAGTTGATAGAGCAGCGCACTGTCGCAGGCATGTGCTTCCAGGTCCGATGCGACGTCGTCCTCGGCGCCAACCGTGAGAAGGTGGCCAGGTTATCGCAGGCCAAGCAGAGCCGGTCGGACGACGCTCGCGCGGAGTGCAACTTCGCCATATTGAAGGTGACGCCAGCGCTGATGGTGCCCTGGGGCGCGCCCCGGCGGCCCGCCCTCAAGCAAGTGTTGTCGCTCGTCGCAGACCACGGCGCGGGCGCCGTCCTTCCGGTCTCCAACCTCGCGACGGACCTGACGGACACGTTGTCCACCGCCAAGTGCAAGCAGACCGGCTGCGTCGCCGAGTGCGTCATGGTCCTGGCGCGCGCCCGGGGTGAGCCGACGCGCGCGGACCTCGGCGACATGGAAGAGATCACGCACGAGGAGGTCGTGTCCACTGTCGCGGACGGCGCCGACGACCCCGCCCCGTTCCGCCTGGAGATGCTGGTGCCCAAGAGTCGGGCGGGCGCGTCGCTCATGGATGAGGAGGACGTGGACTACCTCGTCGTCGGCCGCCCGCAGGGATCCAACCTCGCGTGGACGCTCGTGGCCGAGAACATTTTCTCGTGCAAGGACATGCCGGACGTTCGCAGCACTTTCAAGGAGGAGCTCCAGGGCTGTCGCGAACTGTTGGTGTCCAAGAAGACGTCGCTCGCGGGAAAGCGGTCGGCCAAGGAGTTGATCACTGAGACGCCTACGAAAGTCCGGTGCGTCCAGGAGACCAAGTAGGAGTCCGGCGATTCGTAGGCTCGGTCGACCCTAGTGCAAGGGGGCCAATCACGCGCGCCACGACGCCGTCTACCTGCTGGGCGCGCGCCGTGGCTGCCGCCCGCGGGGGCGCTTCGCCGTCAGGGCCAGCCCTCGTATTTTTCCGTCGGCCCCGCGCCCCCTTCGCTGCTGGGCATCGCGCCCTCAGGGTCGGCCCCCGTCCTCGCTTTTTGCCTTGCCCGGCATTGCACCCTCCGGGTCAGCCGGCCACCCCTTCGCCTCTCCGCTCCTTTCGCTGGGCATTCCTCAGGGTCAGCCCCCCGCCCTCGTTCTTTCCCTGCCCGATATTGCACCCTCAGGCTCAGCCGGCCTTTCATTTGCCTCTCTTTCTTTCGCCGGGCATTGCACCCGCAGGGTCAGCCCGGTCTTCCTCCATTCGGGGCATTGCGCCCGCGGGGTCCGCCGGAGCGCGCGGGGGCGCTTCTCTTGCGAGCCGTCGCGCGTCCCCAGTCACCATGATTTCGCCGCGCCGATCCGTTGAAAACTCGCGCTGGCTCCCTTCCCGCGTCGGACCTGATTCGGATATTGAGCTGGAGTGGGCCGACGCATGCGGTTCTATATCCTCCTCCTCCTCCTCCTCCTCCAACTTCCGTTGTTCGAGTGGCTCTCCGCGCCCGCGGGCGGGGCCGCGCGTCGCTTGCCCCCCCAGGGTCAGCCGGGGGACTCCCCTGCGGGCGCGCGCTTGCCCGCGGACGGGCCGCGTGGCGCGTGTACCCCTAGGGTCAGCCGCGCGGCCCCTGGGCCGTTTGGCGCTTGCACCCCCAGGGTCAGCCGGGCGGCTTCGCCGGGCGGGCGCCATGCTGGCGCGGAAGCGCCCTGCGGCGTCCGACTTCGCCGCTCCCCGCCACCCCCAGGGTCAGCCGGGGGACTCCCGTGCGGGCGCGCGCTTGCCCGCGGAGGGGCCGCGTGGCGCGTGTACCCCCAGGGTCAGCCGCGCGGCCCCGGGGCCGTCTGGCGATTGCACCCCCAGGGTCAGCCGGGCGGCTTCGCCGGGCGCCATGCTGGCGCGGAAGCGCCCAGCGGCGTCCGACTTCGCCGCTTCCCGCTACGCTGCTGATTTTTGGGGCCTCGCGGGAGGCAGGGGCAAGCGCGGCCGCAGGAAGAGGACGGCCGCCGCGGACGAAGGGCAGCAGGTGGAATGTAGAGACTACTCCAACTGCAACCAGCGCAACGAGGACGCGTGTAAGGATCTGCTGATTTCTCTGGCCACGGATGACTTGCGAGGGCGCCTGACGCGCAGCCGCTACGACCTGGAGAGTGCCCGGCGCTCGGAACGGCTGAGACAGATCGAGGCGGGGAAAGCGCTCGATGACGACTGGTTGGGGGAGGCGGCGAGTGCCTTCAACGTCCCTACCCGCAAGAGGAAGCAAATGCAGGTCGTGGAAGACGTCCTGGAGGCCGTGCGACAGACCCGACAGCGGGCCCCGGGCACGGCGACCGCCATGGACGCCGATCGCAGGGAGGCGACGCAGAGGGATATCCAGAGGCCGCAAGGTGTCGACGCGCTGAGGGATGAGCTGCTAGTCAGATCTAGTTCGGAGGATCTGCGCCTGCGCGTGGTGGGCGAGTGCCTCCAGCGGCGCGGAGGCTGGCCCGCCGAGGCAGCAGACCTCGGCGGCGACGCCCCGGGGCCGTCTGGCGATTGCACCCCCAGGGTCAGCCGGGCGGCTTCGCCGGGCGCCATGCTGGCGCGGAAGCGCCCTGCGGCGTCCGACTTCGCCGCTTCCCGCTACGCTGCTGATTTTTGGGGCCTCGCGGGAGGCAGGGGCAAGCGCGGCCGCAGGAAGAGGACGGCCGCCGCGGACGAAGGGCCGCAGGTGGAATGTAGAGACTACTTCTACTGCAACCAGCGCAACGAGGACGCGTGTAAGGACCTGCTGATTTCTCTGGCCACGGATGACTTGCGAGGGCGCCTGACGCGCAGCCGCTACGACCTGGAGAGCGCCCGGCGCTCGGAACGGCTGAGACAGATCGAGGCGGGGATAGCGCTCGATGACGACTGGTTGGGGGAGGCGGCGAGTGTCTTCAACGTCCCTGCCCGCAAGAGGAAGCAAATGCAGGTCGTGGAAGACGTCCTGGAGGCCGTGCGACAGACCCGACAGCGGGCCCCGGGCACGGCGACCGCCATGGACGCCGATCGCAGGGAGGCGCTTCGCAGGCGCACGTGGAGCTCCATGGCCGCGTTGCACGAGGCGAAGGTCTGGGGTATGCGCGCGACGCAGAGGGATATCCAGAGGCAGCAAGGTGTCGACGCGCTGCGGGATGAGCTGCTAGTCAGATCTTGTCCGGAGGATCTGCGCCTGCGCGTGGTGGGCGAGTGCCTCCAGCGGCGCGGAGGCTGGCCCGCCGAGGCAGCAGACCTCGGCGGCGACGACCTCTGGGCGCGCCGCTATTTGCACAGCGCGATGGCCCGAAGGTACGCCAGCGCCTCCACTGGCGAGCAGCTCTTGCCGGGCGACGTGGCGCGGTGGCAGCAGCTGCTCGACAGGATCCCGGAGGCGCAGCGGCCCACCTGGCAGGCGGACCCTCTGCGCCAGCAGTTGCAGGCCCACTACGAGGAGCATGGCCACCTGAACGTGAGGCCCTCGACCAGGAGGGCCGACGATCCCGATCGCCTTCTACTCGAAGCTTTGAAGGTCCTGCGCCGCGCACGGCTGGAGGATGTCAGGGGCGAGCGCGGCCATCTGCTGCGCCGGCAGCTCTCGCCCGGGGACCTGGCCGCGTGGGAGACGGCGGTCCCGGCCAACGTGTTGTGGGGCACGGTGCGCCAGGCCGAGGCGTATATCCCTGGCAGCGCTATTCTCGGCAGCCGGTGCGAATGGCCCAGAGAGCCCGTCTGCTGCCAGCCGTGCCCGTGCTATCTTTGCGGCCAGGACTTCGCCACGAAGCAGTTGTTGCAGGAGCACTGGCGCGAGGAGCACGTGAACCTGCCCGAGGCCGAGCGGGGCTTGCTGGCGCCGCGGCGAGTGGAGGAAGAGGTCCGAAAGAGAATCCTTGCGGACGAACAGCTGGAGGGCCCCTTCGAGGTCCGGGGCGCCGAGCAGCGCCGCGCGCTCGGACGCTTCGCCGAGAACCAGACGCAGAGCCGACCGGGGGGTGCGTGGGCCGGGCACTTCGAGAGCCAGCAGACCGCCCCGACCACCTGCCGCGCCCTGAGCGGCTGCGTTGTCTGCGCGCGCTCTTTCTGGCTGGAGGACCTCTTCGACGCGGACTTGTTCGTGGAGCCCGTGGACCCCGAGCTGGCAGCGGGCGCCGGCGATCCCGCGGCGGACGGCGCCCAGGGGCACGGCGCGGAAGGCGTGCCGGCGGACGCGCCTGCGCGTCACCCCCGGGGGCACCCGGAGCCGCCGCCCGCCGAGGACGCGGCCCCGCCGCGCCGGGCTCGCTTCGCGGTGCGGCCCGAGGCCGCCGCGAAAGTCCACGCGCTCCTCTCCGTGGAGCGCTATGCCGCGAGGTGGCCGCTGATCCCGCGGCACGAGCTGTGGGCTTCCAGCGTGTTGCACCCGCGCAGGCCCGAGTGGCGGTGGCTGCTGCACGTTCGCAGGTTGCCCTGCCTTAGCCTCGACGAGCACGGGCGGGCCCCGCTAGTGAAAGTGTGTTTCGATTGCGGCGAGACCTTGGAGGGCGGGCCGGCAGTGAAAATGCCAATGTACGCCCTGGCGAACGACAACTGGATCGGCCGAGTCCCTTTTCCTCTCCGGCCTGGCGGCGAGCCGTTGCGGGACATGGAGCTGCGATCGCTAGCCAGGGGCCGCGTGTGCGTGAACAAGATCATCGCCGAGCCCGAGAAGAGAGGCCCTCGAGACGAACGGCAGGGGGGGCTCGTTGGGAACTTTATCTGTTTCCCGCAGGCGAAGGTTTGGGGCGGTCTCAAGCCGCGCTCCTGGGGGCGCGCGCCAGCAGTCAGATGTTGGATTCCAGGGGAAGGCGATTTCTGCCGTTGCTGGCGCGCGTGGCCCAGGCGGCGCGCCTGGAGACGTCTCGCAAGGTGGATCTCCTGCGCAGCGCCGAGCTGCCCGCCCCCCCTCCCGAGGCGCAGCGATTCCTCGCTGAGTCCGTCGTCATTGCCCTGGCAGGGGCCGACGTGGACGACCTCAGCAAGGCCCGGTGGGCCAACGTGCGCAAGGGCGAATACATGGGGGCCGCCAGCTTCCTGACCTCCCATTCGGTCTCGTACAACGACATGACCTGCAACCAGGACAGGGCAGACGCCGTCATGAGCGACGCCGGCGCCGTCCCCGAGGCCGTGCGAAGCATTGCAATCCCCATTGAGGTCTCCGAGCAGCTGAAGCACCGGCTGGAGGGCCCCGCCGACGCCTGCGCCGGGGCCGACGAGCAAGTCGTCAGGGTGGACGGGGAGGAGTGCGCGTCCGAGCACGAGGCAGAGGAAGAGGAGGGGGAGAACGATCTCAACGCCGCGCTGCCCGACCCGGACTTCCCCGCCGAGGCGCTCCCGGCGATGTCTTTCTGCGCCGATGCCGCGACCGGCGGCGACCTCGACGAGCTCCAGGCGATCCGCAAGGTGCACGGTGAGCTCGAGGCTCTGCAGGATTCCATGCGCGAGGAGGCCTCCGGCATGGGCTACCCGCGCCGGCGCCTCATCAAGCAGCTTCAGGTCAGCGCCAGAGGCATGCTGGATCGCGGCTTGGCGGACAGGATCCACCACCACCACAAGACGGTGACGGCCCTGGAGGAGACGGGCCAACGGGCGGCGGCTCCCGGAGGCGCGATGGAAGGGTATGCCCAGGGCACTGCTGCACAGCCGCTCTCGATGTACAGCCCCGAGCTCTGGTCCATGTGCTTCCCCGACAAGTTCCCGTACGGCGACGGCGTGTTCGGCTTGTCCAGGACTGCGCCCATGTCGTTCCATCAGTGCACGTCAATGCACTTGCTCCGCGAGGAGCTGGTGTACCAGGTCACGCCCGAAGATTTGGCCGCGGCCGCCGCTTGCAAGGCGTGGGTCGAGACCGCCGCGGACGGGCCCGGCGCGACCGGGCAGTCTCGCCCCTCCGGCGGCTCCTGCGTCTGCCAGCAGTGCAGAGAGGCGTGCCGGCGCTACGTCGCGCCCGAGCAGCCGCGCTGGGGGGCCGACCGCGATCTCATCTGCTGCTACTACGACGCCGGGCGCCGCATCGAGCAGATCCGCAGGGCCAGGGGCCACGTGCACAGAACGGGCTTCCAGGAGCGCCTGGAGAAGATCTGCGCGGCCTCCACGGAGAAGCTCGATGCCGCCGTGCAGAGCCTAGGGCCGAATGCGTCCCTGAAGGACGCGATGCGGTCCCCCGCCGTGGACCAGGACGTCAAAGACGCGCTCTCCGAGCTCATGGTGTTCACCTCAGAAGTTCTCGGCTCGGACGGCGCGCGCGCGAAATTGCGCCACGAGCAGAACGGCTTCGCCCTCATGTTCGGCGGCGCCGGTGGCTTTCTGACTCCGAACGTCGCGGACGTGCGGAGCCCCATCTTGCTTGCCCTGCACGCGGCGGGGGGCTGCGAGACCCGCGCCGTGGACCTCCTCGCGGAAGCCCCGGACATGCCCTCCGCGCGGAAGATGCTCCAGATCGTGGCGCAGGACCCGGTGGCCCAGGCCCGCTTCTTCATCTTTAGCATGCAGCTTTTCTGCGAGCACGTGCTGGGCACCGGCCCCTGGGACGGCAGTCTGCGCCACAACGGCCGTTGCGATGGGGCGGCTTTCCCCGATGGCTTCGCCACTTCGTGCACGGGCGGAGCCTTCCTCATGTTGGCGGCGCTGCACGGGCCCATCGAGGAGCAGGCCCGGCTGTCCATCCACCCGCACATCCTTTTGTGGTTCGTGCACGCGCAGTCCGAGCAGTGGCTCCGGTGCGTGCTCAACAGGGAGACCGAGGAGATCCGGCAGCGGCTCCGCGTGTGGCAGGAGAAGACCTTGGCCGCAGTGCAGTCCATGCAGCTGGACTCAGCGGCCGTGCTCCCGCTGCTCCTCACCGACGACCCCGACCGGGCGCCCGAGCCCAGGAACACGCCCTTCTCCGAGAAGCTGCAGCGGGATTGCCGCATGGATGGGGAGCTGGAGCACGACGTGGACGAGCCGGAGAAACGGCGCGTCTTCTTGGCCACAGAGCCCCCATTCGAGGACCACCACCTCCGACGGCATCGGATGTCCTTGGCGCCCGAGGCGCGACCCATGAGCGAATACATGGTGCCCCAGACGGGCGCCCAGCTCTGTCGCCTCGAGCACTACAGGCTGCTGCGCCCGACCACGGGCGACGACCTGGAGACCGCGGCGGGCCGGAGCGCGGAGGCGGCGGCCTGGGCCGCGCGCTACGCCGAGGATTACCGCCAGGACATCGCCGTGGGCCAGATGCACCAGCACAAGGACACGTGCTTCAAGTACGTTGTCGAGAAGTCCATGCGCTTCGCGCGGCACTGCCGCTTCAACTTCTGCCACTTCGTCAAGCTCTGGCTCCGCGTCGGCGACGGCGGGGACTCCTCGGCGCAGCAGAAGCGCCCCAAGAAGCTGGTGACCTTGGCGCGGACCGGCAAAGACCTCGTGCTGCCGCGGGGGCCAGGGGAACCGGAGCCCGACATGTTCCCCCTGGACGAGGACGGCGCGCCCGTGCCCCTGCGCCCCGGGCGCAAACTCGGCCCGGTCGTCAACGTCGATCCCGACCGTGGGAAGCTGGGTCTGGTCATGCCCATTCGCTGGAACCCGATGGAAGGCAGCTCCAACGGCGTGGCCCAGACGGCGCTGAACTGCAACGTGGACTTCCAGAGTATGATGCGCACTTTCGTTGACGGATTTGATGTCCAGATGCGGGACAGGCTGCGCGACCCGCCCCTCTCGGCGGACGACGAGGCCTCGCTCGAGGCGGAGGAGGACGAGAAGTTCGAGGCAAGCTTCGCCGCGAACATGGAGAAGCTTGCGGCCGCCCGCAAGAGGGCCAACAAACCAGAGCTGGAATATGAGGAGGCGGAGATGAGGCTCCGGCAACAGCGAGCCGCTCGCAGGGCGGCGTATCTGAGGTTGGGCCCGGCCGAGCGCTTCAGGCGCAGTATCAAAGCACTGACCGTCAACATTATGAGGCAGTCCGTTCAGGCCATGTTCTACGCTTGCGACTACTCCACGAAGCCGAACATGACCTGCGCGCCGCTCCTGGTCGCGGTTCGCGACGGCATTCGGCGCCTGGAGGAGCGGCTCCGCACCGAGGAAGAGGCGGCGGCAGCGGCGGAGGCGGAGGGGGTAGCGCCGGTGCCGAAGCCGTCGGCGAGGGGGCCCGCGCTGAGCAAGGTCGGAGGGCGTTGGGAATTCCGCGGAAAATCGAGCTTAAGACCCGAATCAGTTCGCGCTGATATCGGAAGCCTGACTCTCACCAGCTGCGCAGGTTTCAAGGCGCTGCCCGCCCGCCCCCCGTGCGGACGTGAAGATCAAATGTCGAGAACGCACGTTCTGATTTCGCGCGGTTCTCTGCGCCTCGACACGGCGCGGGGCCGGGCTCCCTATTGTAATCTGCGGGCCCAGGGAGTTCGAGCTGAAGATCCAAATCAGTTTGCGACGCTGTCGGCCGTCATGGGCAACCTCTCCACGAACTGATTTGGATCTTAAGCTCGAGCTGCCCGGGCGCGCAAGTTCCTGAAGGGAACCCGGCTCTCCTTGGATGCGTGGCTATTTGTTGCTCTGCGCCTCGGCATTTCAACGTTCACGTCCAGATCAGCTCGCGCAGATTTCGAACGCCAGGGGCGACGCCTCAACGAACTGATTTGGATCTTAAGCTTGACCTGCCTCAGGTCCAGGACGAGGCTCGGCGGCGCTTGATCCGACAGGCCACCGCTGCCAACCAGGCCATCGTGAAGGGGAACTGCCTCATGGTCATGCAGATGCTCACCCGACGCGAGGTGCTGCGCTCCCACTTCACCTGGCAGTTGATGATGAAGAACGCCATGTGGCTGGCCTTCGAGAGCCGACGAATTCGGCAGGGGTTCGACGAGCGCGAGCAGCTGCACGAGGCCACGGTGCTCCTCGACGCCGCGGAAGTGGACAGCCAGGCCACTGACCCGGACGATTGTGATAGCGAGCTTGAGGAGCGCGACGAGAGCGCCGACGGCGACGCCGCCGACGAGGCTTCAGACATCCCAGAGGCACCGCGCAATCATGCGTCGCCGCTGGGCACACGCGGCGAGAGTCCGGCTGGGCCGCGGAGGCGCCCCGCAGCGATTGCACCCGCAGGGTCAGCTGCGCGCCCGGCGCCGCCGCCGGCCAGCGTCGCCGCCGAGCTCGGTTCTGCTGCCTCCACGCAGGTCGCGGCCGCGGGCGGCGCGCCCACAGACGATCTCTTCGCGGCGCGCGGGGAGCGCGGCCCTTCCTTGGCCGAGGAGGCCACGGACGAGCCGCAGCAGAGAAACGCGGGGGTCCGCCTGAAGAGCAACAGCTACTACGACGACTACTTGCACCGCGGCTCCGCCGAGTTCGGCGCGTCGGGTCGAGCGGCGAAGACTCCCCTGGCCTCCATGTCGTATTACGACTACGGCATGTGGGTGCGCGTCGTGCCCGGGGACCCGAACGCCCTGGCGCCAGACGAGTACGCTTTCGCCGGCCACTACGGGAAGCATGCCGACTACGTCCAGCAGCTGCGGGCCGCGCCGGCCGCGCCGTACATCTCCGGCTTCACGATGCCGACCGAAGAGAAGGACCCGGAGACGAACGCCTGTTTCAAGCAGGTGTTGTTGAGGCCGCATGCGTGCCCGGGGCCGGACAGCTGTCGCCAGGTGCACTTCGCCCAGCACTTCTGCTGCGCGTCCCGCAGCAGGGAGGGGGGGCGGGCCAGGGGTCGCGCCCCTCTCTCCTTCCTGGGACCTTGGCGCGCGTATCGCGCCGAGCAGCTCGTCCTGGCGAAGCGGGCCGACCAGGCCCTGCAGCGCTCGCGGCAATGCCCCGTGCTGCACGACACAACCGCCATCCGTTACTGGCATCTCCCCGGCACCGTGCGCGGGGGCCCGGTCCACGAGAGTTTCCTGCCGTTGCTCTGCGGCGGCCGCCATGCGACGGATCCTGGTTTGGACGGCACGTGGTGCCGCCGCCGCGAGATCCCGACCCCCGTCGCAGGCGCCGATCTGCAGCGGCCGTCGCGCGGAGCGGTGTGCTGGCGCATGGCCCTCCCGGTGGACCTCGCCTGGGCCGTGCTGCGCTTCGCGGGCGACGTCCGCGGCGACGACGGGCGGCGCCTGGGGGTCGCCGGCTCGGAGGAGGAGCGCGCTCGGCTCGACGAGCGGGCGGCCCTCGAGGGCGAGTCGATCGCCTGCGCCTGTCCTGGAGTTCACGACGACCAGCTGACCCCCGAGATGTTCTTCGCTGTTCGGCACGTGGAGGTGGCCGCCCGCCTGGAGTACATGGCCGAGGCCCGCGGGCTGCCGAAGCCGGCAAGGGGGCCCAGCGACGCGGTGGCGGAGGAGGAGCTCGGCGGAGATCGCTCCGACGATGACGGGGCCTTCGGCCTGGACGAGGCTCTGCCAGGTGAAGATTCCTCCGCGGAGGAGCGCCAGGAAGTGGCAGACGCGCGAGAGGACAAGGAGGGCATGAGACCTCGCTGGAGGCTGGCAGAGGACGAGTTCGACGACGTCGTGCACCGGACGGCGGCGGCCCAGGCGGCTAAGAGCAGTCGCGTGGGAGCGCACAAGAAAGCCTTGATGGAAACGTTCTTGCAGTTGCAACGCCGCGCTTACGCCTGCGTTCGGCAGCCCTGCGCCGTGCCCGAGCGCGCCCCTCGGCTGGCGGCGATGACTCCTGCTGACGTGCAGACCGCCAAAAAGAACCAGGACGCGATCCGCGAACAGAGGGCCGCCCAGGACGACAATCTGGAGGCCGCGGGCGCCGATCTGCCCGTCGCCGCGGCGGCCTTCTCCGACGCGCCCGCGCCGTCGAGGCGCCTCGGCCCGGAGGATGTGCCGATCTCCCCGCTGCAGGCGGCGCTGACCCTCATCGCCGAGTCTGGGGTCTGGAAGAGCAAGGAGCAGTACCTGGTGACGCTCTTCCTCCTTCAACCGATACAACAACTGTGGCAGAAGGCCCTCGAGACGGACGGCTTGGACAGCTTGTCCACGGCCGCGGGCCTCGCAGCGGCCTCGAGAGACGTGCAGGTCCGCCGCGTCTTCCTGCACGGCCCGGGGGGCTCGGGGAAGACGTATTGCATGACCGAGGTGGTCAACAAGGTGGTCGTGCGTTTCTTCGGGCACAGGGGGCTGAAGCTCGTGGCCGCGGCCAACAGCGCCGCCCGCATCCTCGGCGGCAAGACCATGCACGCGGCGGCGAAGCTGACGCGGAAGCAGTCTCTCGCGGCGAGTAAATTGAAACCCAACACCAGGGCGAAGAAGAAGTTGGAGGCCGAGTGGGAGTACCTTGTGCTCCTCCTCGCCGACGAGATCGGCCTGGCGTCCCCCCCGCTCCTTGCGGGCCTGAGTCGCCGCGCGACTTTCGGCCGCAAGGACTTGCTGCGGCTGTGCGTGGCGAGGGCCATCGAAGAGCCCTTCGGCCAGGTCCCCGTGCAGGCCATCATGGGCGACTTCATGCAGATCAACCCGGTCTGCATCCACACGCTGCTGGAAGCCCTGCTGGCCCGCGCGCGCGTCCCCGGCGTGCCGCGGAAGATCACGGACGAGGACGAAGACGGCTGGAAGGTCTTCAGGAAGATGGCCTCCGACGTGGTCGTCTTCACTGGCACGCACCGCTTTCTCGACGAGGACCTACCGCTGCTCTTCGAGGTCATGCGCACTCCGGGCGGGGCGAGAGTGCCTGACGACTTGCGCGCGAAGATCAGAGATCGCGTCCAGCGGGGCCCCGACGACCCGAGGATGTCCATGGACTACGAACTGGAGGGCGTTCGGGGCTTCTTCGCCCTCGGCGCTCGCGCGGCGATCCAGTGGGAGCAGGTCGCGCGCCTGCAGCAGCTCCACGTGCTCGCCTCCGCGAGGGTCTGTCCTGGCCCCAGGGCCTTGCTCAACGGGGAGGACGGCCGGCCGGATCTTCGTCGCCACGGCTTCAGCGCGGCGCATTCGGGGGCGCGCGGGCAGCTCGTCTATTATTTCCAGGCCGTGGACCGCTTCAAGCACCACCAGGACCGAGACATGTACCTCGAGGCGCTGAAGTTCATGAACCTCTCCAAGAGCAACGGCCTGCCGGGCATGTGCGCGGCCTACTTGGGCATGCGAGGGCGGCTCACGAAGAAGGTCATGGGGCCGGAGCTGGTGCAGGAGGCCACGGGCGAGGTCGTGGGCATCCGCTTTCACCCGCGGGAGCGATTCGGCTTCGGGGAGAATCTCGGCGGCGGTTCTGAACGGCCCTCGCCGAATCACCCTTGCTGGCAGCGAGGATTCGTTGTTTGCGATTATCTCCCCGTGCACCTCGAGATTCGCTGGGACGGAAGCACGGTGGGCCCCTTGGCGAGCTCTGCAAACGACCGCGCCGAACTTCAGGGGGGCCGCGACTGCGGGGGGCGAGGGAAGGGGGCTGGGCCCCCCCGCGGGACCGAGGCCCCTCTTTGGAATCCAGAACTGAATCGGATCTTGAGCTCGAGCTGCTCGCGTGTTCAGGCAGCGCGACCTTGCGATCCATATCAGTTCGCGTCGGCAGTGCGACGCGCCGCGGGCGTTTGCAGATCTCGACCAGGTGGACTACACTGGCCTGGGCAAGCGGGGCGTGTTCCATCTGGAGCCTGTGCAGGACGAGTGGGAGTTGCCCGTCGCGCGCGTGCAGACGGTGAATCACCCGGGCGCGCCTCGGGCCAAGCAGTTCGTCGTCAAGAGCAAGCAGAAGAAGGGGCTGCAGGTCGCGCGCACGCAGCTCAGTTGGGCGCCCGAGGACCAGCTCACTTTCCAGAGCATCCAGGGCCGCACTATCCGCGGGCCCGAGGGCCAGCCCCAAGGTTTCGTCGTCGACCTCTTTCGGCCTGGCACGATGCAGGGCGAGGATCGCCGGGGGGAGTACTTCCAGCACGTCTGGATGATCCTTGGAAGAGCCAGGAAGCTGGAGTGGATGCTGCTGCAGAACTTCCCGCTCGACGAGAGCACCGGCGATCTGGACTGGTCGATCCTCGAGCAAGGGCCGCCGGACTACCTCATCGAGTTCTTGGGCGCGGCTGCGACGCTCAGCAGGAGGACTTCGCGCAGGATGCTGCGCGCGCAGAAGGAGCTGGGGGCGCCGGCCTGGGAGGACGTGCCGGAGTGCCCGCTGGACCCCGACCGCCAGGGCAGATTCTTGTATATCGCCGAGGACTGGATCAGGGCGGGCGCCGCCTGCGCCCGGCCCGTCGCAAGCGCCTCGGCCGAGGCGAGGCCCGACGCGGCCCCGCGGAGGAGACTCTGGGGCAAGAGGCCGCGCGAGGAACTGCGCTCGAAGACGGACCGGCCGACCGCGCCGCCCGACGAGCCCGGGGGCGCTCCGCTGCGGCGGAAGCGGTCGCGCGGCGAGGGCGCCGGGGACGAGGGCGAGCGGGCCTGCGCGCTTCCTGGCGCGGCGCCAGCCTCTTCGACGCAGTCGACCCTGCCGTCGGCGCCCTCGGCCAGCGCCGGCGGCTGGCACTGTTCCTTGCTCGGCCGCGCCATCGGCCGACGAAGGAGCGCGCCCGCGTGGTTCAACAATCCTCTCATGGGCGAGGTCGACCCCGCGTCCGGCACCCAGCTGGGCCTCACGTGCGGTTTCTTCGCGGTGAACCATTGCCTGGGCCACGCGGGCATGCCGCAGCTGTCGGCCGAGGAGTTCCGGCAGGGCGCGAGAGACGGACTCTACCCCGAGGGGGATTTCGACGACGGGGGGGTGCGTCAGAACCTCGCAGAGCGCGGGTGCCATTTCGATTTGTTGCAGGGCGCGGACCACCAGGACGCCATCCTCGCCGTGGGGGACTCCGACAGCTGTCTGGCTGTCTTCAACGGCAACCACGCCTTGGGTGTCATCCTGCACCAGCCATGCCCTCGACATTGGATCGCGCTCGTTCGACCTCCAGAGGCCGTTCGAGACGGCGACGCCGCCTGGCTTTGCGACTCCTTGCACTCGGCGGTCTTCGCCCTTGAGGCCAGCGAGGTGCAGGACCTCCTCGGCCACGTTGGCTCGGCGCAGATGGGCGCCGCGGACAGGGCCGGGAGCGAGCTCGACCGGATGAGGGAGATCTCCGACTGGTGTGCCTACAGAGTCCACCGCTGACCGCGGCATTGCGCCTCCGGGGTCGGCCGTTTTTTCGTTCCGCCTCGTTCTTTCCGCTGGGCATCGCACCCTCAGGGTCAGCCCTTGTCTTCCTTCTACCGCGCCAGGCGTTGCGCTTTCAGGGTCGGCTCTGTGCTGCGCGGCATTGCACCGCCAGGGTCAGGCCTCGTCTGTCCCTGCTCTGCTTGGCGGGAGCTGGAGTGCACTGGGAGCCGGATGCGCCCCGGGCCGCGCTTCTCGCTCTAATGCTGCTCGGCATTGCACCCCCAGGGTCAGCCGACTTCCCCGTTCGCATCTCCTCCTCTCCGCGCGGCGCAGGCTTGGGCATTGCACCCTCAGGGTCAGCCCTCGCCCCCGCGTCTTTCGCCCGGCTCTGCCGCTCCTGCTTTCGCCGCGCAGATCTGGGCAGCTGGCCCGACAGCGCGGCGGGAAATGCAATCTTCCCCCCTTGATCTCTCGAACCCCGTCTTCGTCGTCGCCCGCGCGAAGGATCGCAGATTATCCACCCCATTCGAGGGTTCCAGGCGGGGATAAGGAGGGTTGTCTCACGGTGCCCTCCTCCGAGAGGAAGAGGAGGAAGAGGAGTGGGAGGAGGAAGAGGAGGAGGAGGAAGAGGAGAAGAAGGAGAACGATGTGGAGGAGGAGGAGGAGGAGGGGGATGATGATGATGCTGATGATGATGATGATGATGATGATGATGATGATGATGATGATGATGATGATGATGATGATGATGATGATGATGAGAATGATGATGAGGAGGATGAGGAGGAGGAGGAGGAGGCGGAGAAGAGGAGGAGGAGGAGAGAACAATGAGAACGAGGAGGAAGCCGGGGGGCCCGCAGCAGCCCAAGAAAACCCCCAAGAGGACGCCGAGTTTTCAAGAGCGGCTGGCATTAATCTCAAGGATTCCTTGCGTTTCATGCGACATAACGAGATGCGCGAAAACTCTCAAAAAGTAGCTTTTTCCTGATAATCTACTTTTTCGTGTCGGAGGGCTTCTGCTCTGGATATGGATTTCCCCATGTATTTTGCACGATTGTGGTTGTACGCATTGAAAACTGGAGCGGCCGGTTGTTTGGTTGGCTCCAGCATCGGGGATAGACATACACGGCGACAGCTCCTTAGGAATGCCACCCCAAGGCGGCCCCCAAGAGGTCCTTCCCGGGTGCTGGGGCGTATTGCAATCGTCGCTTGCTTTAATATTGTATTGAACATGTCGTAGCCATTTTGGCTCTTGGCTCAAATATCTTTGTGCATTTGCGACGAACTGTTGTTGGAGAGGCCTTGCGGCCGGTGCCGCCGACCCTGAACGACGACGAAGACGAGCGCTCTCGGGAGCCTCTCGGGGGTAGTTCGGCGGCCTCTTGGGAGGCTCTTGGGGTCTCTTGGGAGCCTCGTTGGGGCTTCCTGGGCGCCCTTCTGGCGGAGGGCTGGATATGTTCGTTCGGGTCACCCGTATGGGCTCCCTCTTGGAGCCGTCCTCGGGGCCTCGTGGGCCGTCTTGGGGGCCTCTTGGGTCGTCGTGGGGCCGTCTTGGGTCGTCTTGGGGCGATCTTGGGAGCCTCTTGGGCTGTCTTGGAGCGGCAGAAATTGTCCAAGGAGGGCGCTGTGCAGGCGCTTGCGGCAGGCCTGTAGCAAGGCCGCTCCGCGCCCTGGGTTTCTGAGTAGGCCAGCAGCCTTGTCGTTTTCCCGCACCGCCTTAGGATTCCGGCCCCCGGGTCGGCCTCCTCCTCTCCGCCGGGCATTGCACCCTCGGGGTCAGCCCCTGTCCTCGCTGTCTTCCTGCGCCGGCATTGCATCCTCCGGGTCAGCCGTGCTCCCGTTCGCCTCTCCTCCTCTCCGCTGGGCAGTGCACCCCCAGGGTCAGCCCCCGCCCCCGCGCGTTTCCTTCCCCGGCATTGCACCCTCAGGGACAGCCGGTCTCACCGTTATCCTTTCCTGCTCGCCGCCGGGCATTGCACCCTCCGGGTCAGCCCTCGTCCTCGGTCTTTTCCTGCCCCGGCATTGCACCCTCCGGGTCAGCCGGCCCCCCCGTTCGCCTCTCCTCCTCTCCGCCGGGCAGTGCGTGTTGATTCATATATGTTATCAAATCATTCAAATTTGTAATATATAATTGAATTTTGTTTAAGAAAGAATATACATAATAATAATTTATTATACATACAATAATAATATAATACATAAAAAAAAATTATATAAAAAAATATAATATACAATAATTTTTTACCCAATCAAAAAATAAAATTGAAAATTATAATAAAATTATTTTATGAAATAATAATAACATAATAATTAAATATATAAATAACTAATTGAACATGTCGTAGCCACTTTGCCTCTTGGCTCAAATATTTTTGTGCATTTGCGACGAACTGTTGTTGGAGAGGCCTTGCAGCCGGTGCGCGCTTGCCCGCGGAGGGGCTGCGTGGCGCGTGTACTCCCATGGTCAGCCGCGCGGCCCCGGGGCCGTCTGGCGATTGCACCCCCAGGGTCAGCCGGGCGGCTTCGCCGGGCGCCATGCTGGCGCGGAAGCGCCCTGCGGCGTCCGACTTCGAGGACTTGTTATTTCGTTCTTCTACGTGCATGGCGGCGCCCTCTGGATTTGATTGGATAATTGATTGTGGATCTATCAGGCGAGCGCAGACAGTTCATGGCTGCATTCGTGCTCGGTCAGAAGCGCGCCAGTGCGCGATCAAGACGTCCTGGTTAGAAAAATCGAGGGTGCATGTCACGTGGAAGTCTTTAGCAAAGCAAGCGCACGTACTTCACTTTTTCTCTGCGCATCTCCCAGCAGATGTTTACCAGCTTGTGAGTGTCACGCTAGCGCCGCAAGCAATCAACAAGACGGGGCGTCGCCCTTGGCTCGACGAGGTCAGCAAGGCTGCATTGAACAACCCGGGGAAAGTCAAATGGGCACATGCAGCTAACGTTCTCAAAAGGAGCAAAATGGGCGCGATTTCTAGAGGCTCGTACCAAGCCCTGTTCGATAACCCAGGAGAGCGGCGTGATGATTGGGAAGGCTTGATGGATGACATTCTTTTGGTTTACATCATGGGCCGTGAGCTAAGGGCAGCTTTCAAAGTACACAAGGGCGAAGATGGTGAGCACAGTGAAACGCTGTTGCAAGAATTTAAAGAGTTTGTCTTAGAGACCACGGTCGACGGCGGTGAAATCAGCACCTCCAAGTTTCATCGCATGATGCTAAGGAGGAACCGGGTGCGCGAATTGATGACGCCGGGTGTTCCAGAGTGCTCATTAGCATCTGACTTTATCCACAGCCAGCGCCACAACGTTCATCTGGAAGATGACATTCAAGGGTTTTTACCGTTGTATGATCGCTTGCGTGCCGGCGCGCGGACTCTCAAGGACAAGATGGGCGCGATTCGCACAACATTCTTGGTGTGGTCGGGCAGAAGCCGCTCGGTTGCAACCTTTTTCTTGGAGAGCGAAGCCCCGCGCTTGACAGAGATGGATGATGTCTTTTCGTTTATCCACAACCATAAGGGGCCATGTGGTGACGGGAAGACGTCCGATTCAAGGTATTTTGTAGGCGTTGGCCCAGGGCAGAATGCCACGTGCGCGGCGGCAGTGCTCAATACATTCGAAGGGGATAAATTGAAAGCATTGGTTGGCATTGCCAAAGCCAGTAGCGTGGACGAGGCTTTTCAGCACATGTTATCTCTACGTGATTTCGGAGGAGAAGATTCGACTCGATTTATAATCAAAAATATGTTAGCGCCGCTGGGTTGTGCGGACATGCAAATGCCGTCTCAGTTATTCGCGTGGTCTGAGCAGTGGCAGGCTCTCGTCATTGCAGGCCCCAATGCAAATAAATTGTTCTTTTGCTGGTATGGTGAGGAGAAAGACCACACGAAACGGCACGTGGCCAATGAGAATCGCGTGCGGCATACGTTGAAACGCATCAATGCGAAGCTGCCGAAGAGGTTGGTGTGCAATTGGCATACAAAGCAGTTCAAGAAAGAGCTGCGGCGCATGAGTGCAGTATCTCTCCAAGAGAATATATGCATGGCCTGGCACGACGGGGAATTCCTTTTCTCAGGCCGTTCAGGTTTCCTCAGCCGCTGCCCCACGAGAGTATGAGTTTTCAAAAGCGACTTGTTCCGTGATAAATATCAAAGTGGTGAAAACGTGTCCATGCTCCACATGTCTATATCCCTTTCCGGGTTCGTGGGTCCATCATGTTGGCTTCTCGCGTTTTCGAGCTTCCAACGGTCCAAGAGCGCCGACGAAGAGCCTCCATGGGGGTAACTGGCGTTCATTTTCCTAGTGTTTTTCCCGGAAAGGGCGTGGGCCCAGGGTTCTCTTTTAGTAGGTAAACCTGTCCCCCGGTGCCAACTTGAGGGAGGCCGGCGAATTTTTTCCCTGATAAATAACGAGGTCGAAGGAGGCCGGCGAATTAAAATTTGAGGATGTCTCGAGCGAAACGCTTGTTTTTGAAATCCCGATCGATAAATCACAGGGTGCGGGCCACTTTTTCGTGTGTTGAGGATGTCTCGAGCGAAACGCTTGCTCCGCAGAGTTTGCCGAGGATGTCTCGAGCGAAACGCTTGTTTTGCAGAGCCGACCGCGACGCGGAAAAGCGCCCCGCGCGAAGGAATTTCGATGATGTCTCGACTAATTCCTTTGTTTTTGTACGATTTCCTGGAATTTTGGCAGGATGTCTCGAGCGAAATGCACGACCCACCCTAGCACGACCATTTTGCCGCAGGATCACCACAATGCCCACACTACACAACGACGCGACACCCCCATGCACGACCACCCCCCAGCACGACCACCCACCAGCACGACCACCCCCCAGCACGACCCCACCCTAGCACGACCATACCCCAGCACGACCACACCCCAGCACGACCAGACCCCAGCACGCACCCCAGACACCCCACCCCAGCACGACCACACCCCAGCACGACCACACCCCAGCACGACCCGACTCCCAGCACGACCCACCCCAGGCAAGACCACACCCCAGCACGAACCCACCCCAGCACGCACGCACTACCCACCCCAGCACGACCCACGCCCCAGCACGACCACGCCCCACGACCACACCCCAGCACGACCACGCCCCAGCACGACCACTCCCCAGCACGACCCCACCCTATCACGACCACACCCCGCACTACCACACCCCAGCACGACCCCACCCCAGCACGATCACACCCCAGCACGACCCCACCCCAGCAAGACCACAACCCAGCACGACCGCACCCCAGCACGACCTTACCACAGCACGACCACACCCCAGCACGACCACGCCCCAGCACGACCACGCCCCAGCACGACCACGCCCCAGCACGACCACGCCCCAGCACGACCACGCCCCAGCACGACCACGCCCCAGCACGACCACCCCCCAGCACGACCACCCCCCAGCACGACCACCCCCCAGCACGACCACCCCCCAGCACGACCACACCCCAGCACGACCACTCCCCAGCACGACCACACCGCCTTGGTTGAGTGGTTGCCTGTCGTCGTGGAATGTTTCGTGGGGTGTCTCGTGGAATGTTTCGCGGGGTGTCTCGTGGAATGTTTCGTGAGGTGTCTCGTGGAATGTTTCGTGAGGTGTCTCGTGGGCTGTTTCGTGAGGTGTCTCGTGGGATGTTTCGTGAGGTGTTGCCCAGTTGGGTATCATGAAAACGTGTCCATGCTCCACATGTCTATATCCCTTTCCGGGTTCGTGGGTCCATCATGTTAAAGGGTTTCCGCGTCCTGGGCCTCGGAGGCCGCCGCCTCCGACCCCCCATGGGAGGACGGGGCGGCCGGGGAGATCCAAAATAGTCCAGGAGGGTCTCCAGAGGCTCCCAAGACGGCTCAAGCGGGCCCCGAGTCGCCGAAAGACCGCTCCAGGACGCCCAAGATAGGCCCAAGACGGCCCGAGAGGCCCCCCAAGGCACTCCACGACGCTTCAAGACGCCTCTCCAGAGCGTTTCAAGAGGCCGAGATCGTCAATTTTACTAAGGTTTTCGAACGATTTTGGCCTTCCAGCCTTTTCGGCTGTCCGACGTTCCAAGATGGCTCAATAGGCCCCCAAGAGCGCCCCAAGACGGCCCAAGAGGGCCCCAAGACGGCCCCAGAGTCGCCCAAGACAGCCCAACAGAGCCCCAAGACGGCCCCAAGATGCGCCCAAGAGGGGGACCACGGCTCCAAAGTTCGACCCTCCCGCTTGAAGAGTGCCCCAGGAGGCCCCAAGAGCCCCCAAGAGGCCCCAGGAGGCCCCCAAGAGGCACCCAGGAGGCCCAAACGAGGCCTAAAGAGGCCACAAAACAGCCCCGAGGAGGCCCCACAACGGTCCCAAAACGGCTACCGAGAAGCTGCGAAATTGCCTTCTCGACGTCTCCGACAGGCCAACCACGAGATCCAAGCCAACACCCATGAGGCCTCTGACCCACCACCCAGGGCACGGTGGCGGGAGCAGTGACAGCACTTGTGCACAGCATGTTCTGGCGGGAGCCTTCCGGAACACGCTGCAGGAGGAGGAGGAAGATCAGGAGGAGAGAGAGCTGGAGTGGGAGGAGGAGGAGGGGGACGAGGAGGAGGAAGAGGCCTCCCAGACAGCTCCAAGATAGCCGAAGAGGCTTCCAAGAGGACCCTGGGCGGCCCACGAGGGCCCCAAGGCGGTGCCTGAGGCGCCAAAGACGGCCCGAGAGGGCCCCAAGAGAGGCCCTCCGTAGCCATTTTGGCTCAAGGAATTTACAAGCTCAAGGTCGTTTGAGCTCAGGTGTTGGTTCTATCAGGGCCTGTTCCCACCTTCTCAGGAGCAGGGCGTGGACAGTTTTGCCGCTGCGCCTTCGCGACTGCCACCGCGAACCTGGCCAGGTTGCGATGAAGTCGTTCAGCAATCTGCGAGGACCACGCATCTGGTCAAAAGAGAAGCGGCGCATACATCCGACAGAGGAAAGCCAGAATGGATCACAGGAAACGCTGTCGACTTGCCCGGCAGAATCTGGCGTATCCTCTGACGGCCATTGCCAGCACGATGAGCGGAAGAGCGCGGCTAGCGAGACATGAGTTATACCCAGAGCTTTGGCCCGACATCCTAGCACCGGCAGCAAGGACAGCACGGGGAGCCGGAGACCCGCGGCACAAATGATAATGAATCACATGAAGTCCGTACGGGAGACTTTGCCGACGTTGAAGCCGGGCATGGTCGTGACCACAAAGAGTGCACGGGTCAACATGTTGGTCGTTCGTAACCCCAAGGAGTGGTCAGAGGGGGACGTGGACGGCGGCGTGGGCAAACCTGGGATAATATTTGCCATCGATGTAGTCGCAGGGGATTGCACGGTTTATTGGTACGAGTCTGGGCAGGTCAACAACTGCAGCATCGGCAGAAAGGGCGTGCTCTGCAAGCCGTGCGGCGCCATCCCGGGGTCGCTTGGAGGGGACGACGGATTGGCGAACGTGGGCATGGTTCACTCCGCCATGGAGGCAATGAGGACTCTGCTCGGGGGCCGCGCTAAGAGAGGACACCAGACGGAAACACCAGTCGAGCCGTTTACTCGACACATCTCGCCGTTTGGCCGGAAGATCTCGTACACGCAGTACGTGGAGAAGACGCAGACGGCAATCATATTCGATTGGGACGACACGCTGTTCCCAACCACATACGTCAAGCACGATCTGGGCCTCTCCATCAATCATAGTCTGAAGGACCAGGCGCTCAGTCCCGGGAAGATGGTACGTGTCCGGACCGCTCTAGCGAGAGCCGCGTGCGCCGCCGGACGGCTCCTCCGGTTGGCGGACGAGCGCGGGAAGGTCGTCATTGTGACTTTGGCCAGGAGTCCGTGGGTCACCGATTCCTGCAGGAATTTCTACCCTGGGATGGGCGAGCTCATCAAGAAGCTCGGTATCCAGATTGTGTACGCGCGGGATAGCGAGCAGATTGAGCACAACAAGGTGAATTCGATGGCCGAGGATCAATTCGAGACGTTCTGGGCCGAGATGAAGGGCAGGACCATCTCCAAGGTTCTGAGCGACTTTTATTCCCAGTACGAGGGGCAGTCCTGGAAGAACATCCTATCCGTGGGGGACTCACAATTTGAGCGGTACGGCACGATGGCCGCGACGATGCAGTATGCTGCAGTCCAGGGCCTGGCTAACGAGGAGATCTGCCTGGGCAGTCTGCAGGCGACGGCGAGGGCGTGCGAGGTCTCGAATGGGTCCACGCGGTCGTCGCTGTCTGTGTCGAGCGTGAAGAGCCTTGAGAGCAGGGGCAGTGGGAGGCGAATGTCGTGGGAGGGAACCGTCGGCGGCTACCAGGTCAAGGTCAGGACGAAGACCTTCAGGATGCTGGGCGATCCGACGGCAGAGGAGCTCATCGTGCAGATGAGTTTGATGTTTCGGTGGCTCCCTCTGATGGTGGAGCTTGACGAAGGCTTCGACGTCGATCTCAACAGCCTCGACGGCGAGGCGGCGTTCGATAAGATCGAGAGCACGCTGTTCGGTGCCAAGGACTGAGGAAGCGTGTTGTGTGTATCAGCAACGTGTGGGCCCCTACCGGCAGGCAAATTCAATACGTCTTTGTTAGAATAGTCTGCTGCCCTGCGCGAAATGTGCCTCGGTTCCGAAACCCATAGTTGTGGGTGCTCACGAAATGGGAGGTTCTCGTTGGTTGCCGTCATACAAAGGTTTAGTTCAGAGCAAGACTTGATAAACCAATACTCTGGGTCCCTACGTGCAAGAGGTCTCAATGCCGATTTTTCCCGGAAAGGGCTCCGGCCCAGGGTTCTCTTTTAGTTGGTAAACCTGTCCCCCGGTGCCAACTTGAAGGAGGCCGGCGGATTTTTTCCCTGATAAATATCGAGGTCGAAGGAGGCCGGCGGATTAAAATTTGAGGATGTCTCAGGCGAAACGCTTGTTTTTGAAATCCCGATCGATAAATCACAGGGTGCGGGACACCTCAGCACGACCACACCCAGCATGACCACACCCCAGCACGACCACGCCCCAGCACGACCACACCCCAGCACGACCACACCCCAGCACGACCACACCCCAGCACGACCACACCCCAACACGACCACACCCCACCACGATCACACCCCACCACGACCACACCCCAGCACGACCCGATCGATGAATCACAGGGTGCGGACCACCCCAGCACGACCACACCCCAGCACGACCCCACCCCAGCACGACCCACCCCAGCACGACCACCCCAGCACGACCACACCCCAGCACGACCCACCCCAGCACGACCCACCCCAGCAAGACCACACCCCAGCACGACCACACCCCAGCACGACCTCACCCAGCACGACCACACCCCAGCACGACCACACCCCAGCACGACCACAGCCCCAGCACGACCACACCCCAGCACGACCACACCCCAGCACGACCACTACACCCCACCCACAAGCCAAGACCACACCCCAGCACGACCTCACCACAGCACGACCACACCCCAGCACGACCACGCCCCAGCACGACCACGCCCCAGCACGACCACGCCCCAGCACAACCACCCCCCAGCACGACCACCCCCCCAGCACGACCACGCCCCAGCACGACCACCCCCCAGCACGACCACACCCCAGCACGACCACTCCCCAGCACGACCACACCGCCTTGGTTGAGTGGTTGCCTGTCGTCGTGGAATGTTTCGTGGGGTGTCTCGTGGAATGTTTCGCGGGGTGTCTCGTGGAATGTTTCGTGAGGTGTCTCGCGGAATGTTTCGTGAAGTGTCTCGTGGGATGTTTCGTGAGGTGTTTTGTGGGATGTTTCGTGAGGTGTTGCCCCGTTGGGTATCGTGAAAACGTGCCCATGCTCCACATGTCTATATCCCTTTCCGGGTTCGTGGGTCCATCATGTTGTCCAGCAGTCTGCACAGGCGCGTCAGTTTTGTCCACTTCGGCAGGTGTATTGGCTGGAGGCCTCTCCCACATCTGCCAGCGCACGTTGCAGCTGGATGAGATCTATGCTGTGCCTGAGACGCGGGGCAGGATCATTGCTAGACATGTAGACGGGGTCCTGACAGGTGGGATTATCTGGATGTCTGTGTATGGGAAAGGGGGGGGGTGGAGTCAAAGCGAGCTCGCTAGACCACGCGCGCCCTAGATGGCGCGCTGGATGATTGCAGGCAGTCCCATCGCATAGTCATTCCGTATTTCCCGGAAAGGGCCTGAGCCCAGGGTTCTCTTTTAGTTGGTTTCCCCCCGGTTTTGACGGCTGTAGGGCCGGCGAATTTCTTTTGCGGTAAATAACGAGGCCGCGTAGGGCCGGCGACTTAAAAATTGAGGATGTCCCTAGCGAAACGCTTGTTTTTCAGAATTGGTTGAGGATGTCTCGAGCGAAACGCTTGTTTTGTGTAATAGATTGTCCTCTCCTGGGGACCTCAATTCTGAGGATCTCTCAAGTGGATTGCTTGTTTTCACGTGCCCAGGTCTTGAGGATGTCTCGAGCGAGACGCCTCCAGGTGGCCCAGACAGATGTCTAGCATGAGGATTTGTTGAGGATGTCTCGGACCAGAGGCTTGTTTTCACGTGCCCAGGACGCTCAGGCGGATGTCTAGCATGAGCATTTGTTGAGGATGTCCCGAGCGAGACGCCTATTTGCACGTGTCCAGGTTGCCCAGCGACGATGTCTAGCATGAGGATGTGTTGACAACGTCTTGAGCGAAACGCGTGTTTTCACGTGTTCAGGTCGCCCAGGCACGGCACAGCCCTCGGCACGGTACATCAATATCGATACCCTTAGCATTGCAGCCTGGCATGTTGCCTGGCACGTTCCGCGGAGCGTCCCGTGGCGAGTCCCCCTGGCACGTCGCGCGGTGCACGTCCATTGGCACGTTCCGTAGCGCGTCCCCTTGGCACGTCCCGCGGTGCGTGCCCATGGCACGTCCCCTGGCACGTCGCCTGGCGCGTCCCTTGGGACGTTCCGCGGCGCGTCCTCTTGGCATGTTCCCTCTGTCGATTAGTTCTTGGGCAGCTACCATCGGCTCAGGCAGCTCGAGCTTACGATCCAGATCAGTTCGGTGAGGACTCGGATGCCAGGGAGGACTCCATCCACAACGCTATATAGAGCACAATCGCGGCATGGCACATCGCAGTTCAGCACGGCCCAGCACAGCACAGCCGTCGGCACGGTACATCAAGATCGATACACTCAACTATGCACCTTGGCACGTTCCTTGGCGCGTTCCGTGGCGAGTCCACCTGGCACGTCGCGCGGCGCGTCCCCTGGCACGTCCCTCGGCACGTCCATTGGCACGTTCCGTAGCGCGTCCCCTTGGCACGTCCCGCGGTGCGTGCCCCATGGCACGTCCCCTGGCACGTCGCCTGGCGCGTCCCTTGGGACGTTCCGCGGCGCGTCCTCCTGGCATGTTCCCTCTGTCGATTAGTTCTGGGGCAGCTACCATCTGCTCAGGCAGCTCGAGCTTACGCTCCAGATCAGTTCGGTGAGGACTCGGATGCCAGGGATGACTCGATCCACAACGCTATATAGAGCACAATCGCGGCATGGCACATCGCAGTTCAGCACGGCGTAGCACAGCACAGCCCTCGGCACAGTACGTCATCATCGATACATTCAGCATTGCATGTGCCCGTCGCCCAATCAGGTGTCTTTGAAATGTTGCAATGCCTTACATTTCTATATTCCTTTCCGGGTTCGTGGGTCGATCATGTTTTCCTAGGGCTCTCCAGCGTGAGACAAGATTTGGTTGTTCCTCAGCGGCACGGGCTCTATGAGCCGACAGCTGTCAATGCTGAGAGCACGACGCACGAGCGTGCACAGGGCGGCCAGCACCTGGTACCCCTTCGCATGGAGAAAAACAAACAAAACAACGACAAGTATTGTTTCACTTGTCTCACGTGCTTGGCTGACGTACGGCTGCGCCCAGGAGCCTGCGCACATGCCCGTACCTGCTCTTTGCGGCAGACTTGGTGCATAATGTTTGAATGCTGCCCATTCTGGGGAGTCACGGAGTCATGGTTTTGAAATGTTGCCCCTTCTGGGGGCACGGCCGCCAGGTTGGTGATGGCCAGCATGGTCCTCCTCATCCCGTCCAGTCCTTATAGAGCTGCACGGATCCGCAGCGTCGCATAGCGAAGTGTTGGCTCAGGGGGAAGCACTCAGCTCCGCGCCCCAAGCGTTCCGCTTTTCGTCAGAGGTGCGGGCGTGGAGGCGCTGCAGAGGCGTCGCAGGCCAACGAGGGGGGCGGCGCGCGTGCCTCGGGCGAGCGGGCGGGCGGGCGGGCGCGGCGGCGAGGGCCTCCGCGCCGCGACGCTCGGGCTCGAGGGCGCGGCCCCCGCGAGAGGCGCCCGGCCGGGAACGTGCCGCAACTTTTTGTTTGGTCCGTCCTCGACGCCCCCTTCGGCCGAGAGGAAATCGCCATCGCTTCCAAAAAAAAAAAGACGGCCCCAAGAGAGGCCCACGAAGGGAAACACGAACCGAGAATCCGAGCTTTCTACCCCGAGAGGTTCTCGGGAAGTCCCAAGAGGCCCCCAATCGGATCCAAGAGGCCCCCAAGAAGCTCCCGAGAGGGCCGACGAGGTTCCAAGAGATCTCCCAAGGTGGCCCCAAGAGGCACAGCTCATTGTTTTACGATTGGGCTTTGACGGGTTTTAATGTTTCTTGCCTTTTGGCATCCCGATGCTCCAAGACGGCCCAAGAGGCTTCCAATACCGCTCCCACATAGAGGAAGAGGCCTCCAAGAGGGCCCCAAGACGGCCCGCGAGGGCCCCAAGACGGTGCTTGAGGCGCCCAAGACGGCCCGAGAGGGCCCCAAGAGCCCCAAGAGAGGCCCAAGAAGGGGAACGCGACCCAACAGCAGAGCGGTCCCCCCACAAGGCCCACAGGAGGCTGCAAGAGGCCCCCAAGTGGTCCGACGAGGACCCCAAAAGCTTCCCGAGGGCCTAGAAGGCCCCTAGGAGACGTCCAAGAGGTTTTAAAATAGCCCAAGAGTGCCCTCGATGCGTCAAAACTGCTTCCAGGAGGCCCCCGGGAGGCTTCCCGATTGCCTCAATCTGGCCGCAGGTGGCCTCAAGTCGGGCCTCCACGCAGCCAAGACGGCCAATGACGGCTTCAGATTGCAGAACCGATGCCCCCAAGGGACCCTCAGACGCACCCCCAAGAAGCACCCAAGAGTTGCATCCACCAGCCAGTTGACGAAGCATGCGGAACACCCCAGAAGCTCCTCAGATGCCGTCGCGCGCCTGTGCTTGATAGCGTTGTCCAAGATCGTCCAGCGCCCCCCCGGGCTGGGCTAGAACCTGAGCGCGCGCGAAGCGCGCGCGATGGTTCTAGTTTACATGTTTTATTATATATATATATATAACATATTAGCCAGCGTGGGCCCCAACAGGGAATTGTTGTACAGTTGAGATGAAATCTATTCGGCGTAAGATGTGTGGTGTCAGTTACGTCGTGTAAGCTCTGTGGTGTTAGCTATGGAGGTGAAAGCTGTGCAGTGTAACCTATGTGGTGCAGGCTAGGTCGTGTAATATAATATCTGTGGTGTGAGTTGGAGGAGAGCGCTGTGTGGTGCAAGCTGTGTGGGGTAAGATACGGTATTTAAGGCGTGGTGTACGCCATGTGGTGTAAGCTATGCTGCGCAAGCTATGTGGTGTGTGGGATGTGGCGTAAACCAAGCGCACCGGGCGCACACCGGCACCCACGCAGCAACGCGAGGCGCGCGGATTCACCCAGCGCACGGGGCAACCACGAGGCGAGGCGGCACGGGCGGCACGGGCGGCAGCGCGGCGCAACTTCGGAGGATCCACCCGGCGCACGGGCGCCCACGAGCGCCCACCAGGCGACACGGGCGGCAACGTGACGCAACCTCGGCGAAGTCCGCCCGGGCCGCTCACGAGCGCCCATGGGGCGGCGCGGGTCGGCAACGTGGGAAATCCTCGGCGGACCCGTCCGATTGTTTGAGGAACCGAAGTATGAAGCCCTCAGTGCGAGTACTGTTTCGCTTGGGGGAAAAATCAGGGAGGTGACAGAAGGAGGGGACGCGGGAGGATGAAGGGGAGGATGAAGGGGAGGTCTTCTGGAGGAGAAGGTGGAGGAGGAGGAGGAGGAGGAGGAGGAGGAGGGCTTGGCGTGCCGTTGTCAGCAACAGAACGACCACACCTCACATGTGAAATTGGAGCAGCTGTCACAGGGAAGAGAGTCCCTCAGCCGTTCCAAACTCTGCCTGGGTCTCCGCTGTCCCTGTGCCCAGGGTTCCGGGGCCCGAGCGCCTTGATCCGTCAGGGCGGACCGCTCAACCCGAGAGCACTGCACTTCCACACTTTACTTTTTTTATTTTCACACCCGTTTAATACTTGTCATGAACACGGTCCTCTTGATTGCGACTTCTCTGTTGCGGGCTGCTGCCGCCATGAAGGTGGTGCAGGACGCGGTGCAGCGGCCTCCACCGCCGACTCCAGTTCCGACGCCTCTCCCGACGACGGAGCCGCCGACACCAGCCCCGACGACCTTGGACCTGCTCCCGGGAGTCGCTTGCCCGTGTTTGCCGCCGACGTGTTTTGCAGCATACGACCTCAATAATGACTCCTGCCTCAGCCAAGACGAGTGCGACCTGCAGGTTACGCTGCTGGGGAATTGCACTGGGGTAGCGACTTACGGGCCAGCGGTGTGGGATTCAGACGAAGACGGCTGCATCAACTACACTGAGTGGCAGGACATCTTTGCGGCTACGAACGGGTCCGTCTGCCCAGTCGAGGTCCCAGAGATACCCGATGAGTGCGATCCTGGCTATTATCTTGTCGCCAATCCTACGGAGTGCCAAGAATGCATTGGTGGCGAAGTGCGCAGGCGTTGCGGGTGAACAGGAAGCACCTGACAGCACGGATGCCCCACTTCCTGTTCTCCTTTGTCGAGGTTGCGCGAGTCGAAGTAGATGAGATCGCTGGATCGCTCTGCATCGTCGATGCAGTTGCAATGCGACTCGATTTGGAGTCCGATCTTCTTCACGCTGACGTCGCTAATGCATCACTGGCGTCGCCCATTTATCGCCGATGCGGCGCGATCCTCCGACGCCATCTACTTCGACCCCACCCGAGTGGCCTCACATCTTGGTCCAGCCGTGGGTTCCCCTCGCCATGACTGGGCACTTGCCCTCCCCCTCCCCTCTTGTTCGGCGGTTGCTAAACGTGCCCCTGGCCAAAGGTGCCTCCAGCTTTTCGCTCAATCTTGGAGCCCCTGGGGACCTCTGGGCCTCGTGAGGGGTGCTCTGGAGGCCGTGGGGGCCCCCTTGAAGTTCCTGGGGGCACCTCGGGCCCGTGGCACTTCTGGCAACACCCGAAGCCTGTGCCTCCCCGCAAAAGGTCGGGTCCAGGCAGGGGCTTTCTTGGGGGGCCGCAGGCGCCGCGCTCTCGAGTGCACGCCGTGCCCGGCAGGCTTCGTGGACTTGAACTGCGGGGACGACTGCGTTGACATGTCTGCCACCCTCGTTGCCCCCAGCTCGAGGAAGAAAAAACGGCACAACCATAAACCGTCGGCGCTCCGCGCGGATTTCTTGGTTCGGCGCCGGGAGCCCCCAGCGCCGCCCTTGGCGCGTTCCGCGCGCCATGGAGGGGGTTCCCGCGCTAATCCAAGCAATCCGTGCGGACCGCCGAAACCATATGTTTATGCAGTTGTTTCTTCCTCTACTAGCTCGGATTGCGCAAGAAATACTGACAACAATACTTGCAACATTCCTGTCTTACCTGGGACCCCCGGCTTCTGCGACGAGTACGCGGTCGGCGACAACGTCACGATCCGAGGAACGGACCCAGATTGCGTGAGTGGTGAAGATTGCCTAGAGATATTTCATTGCGTTCTCACTGCCATGACGCAAGTGATTGGGACATGGGAATACTTCATCGAATGTCCTTCATTTCAGTACACCATAACTGTCAATGAGACGCGGAGACTGGAATCTCGCGTCACTGAAGATCGGCTTGCCGTGTGTATCCCTCCAGCCATACCAGCCAATTCCAACATGTACTTGACGTGCACGGTCACTGACGGGACTGACTTGAGTGATCATTTTTCTCCTTCTTCTTCTGGTTGCGTCTGCGCATGTGGCGATGTGTTGTGCAGTTCAACGGAGATATGCACAGAAAACAACGGCACTGGCGTGTGCACCCGAGCTGGTCCCTACCCCGAATTCTCCACTCCCGCCCCGACCGTCGGGGCCAAGGGCGACCCGCATCTTGTCAACTTGCAGGGAGAGCACTTCGACATCAACCACGAGGGCAACTTCGAACTGATCCGCTTCCCTCAGGCTGCCGACATGCCCGTCGAGCTCTCTTTCCTGGCGACAGTCCAGCCAGACCATGGGAAGCCGTGCACCACGTACATCACGCAGGTGGAGGTCTCGGGCGCCTGGCTCGGCAGTAAGGGCTTGCAGATTCGCTGCTACCGCAAGTCCCATTCGAACGACACCGACGCGTTCCTCGGTGCCCGTCTTCTGGAGGGTGGGATTGATCCTCCCTGGCAGACCATCCAGGAGTTTGGGTCGGAGCGCATCGTGCTTTCCAAGTCGGGGTCGAACTACGAAGTTATCTTAGACAAGGCTCGGGGAAACTGGGTACGGCCACAAATTCGATCCCCCCCCGCTCCCTTCTCCCCCATCCTCCTCACCCTTTCTCCACAATCCCCCCTCGTGCTCACTCCGCCTGCTGGTGGGATTCGGATCGGCGTGTGTGAAGGCTGCCCTCTCAACAGGCGACGTGGTCCCCCAAGAAGCGTACGGCAGTGGGCCCGACTGCGGCGGGGATGTTCACCCTGTCCTTGCGCAACAGGAAAAGCGCACACGCCGCCAAGATCACCGTCCGCCAGGACCTGCCGGAGCAGGAGCACCTGCTGGGGGAGGGGAGGACCAGATGCGAGGAAGGGGAGGAGGCAGGGGTGGCGGGCTGGCGAGATGGCGAGAGGAGGAAGGTTGACGTTATTTCCCATGCGGAAGGTCGAGGATCTTACATTTCAAGACTAGAGTTGCCGACCCGCCTCGCCGGCCCTGCATGCCGCAGTTGCCAGGCCCAAAGAGTGCTGGTGTTGCCTGGGCATCCCACCTCGCGGCTTCGATGAACGCAGAATGCGTGCTGCGGCCGCCAGGCCCCAAGGAGGCCGCTGCTCCCTGGGTATTTTGCCTCGCGTTCTTTGTTCCTTTGCCCTTTTGGAGCTTCCGACCGCTTGTCCCACTCCATGCGACCCCACCAGGGTCGCAGCCGAGCGTATGGCACTCCTCCTCCTTCGGCGAGAGCGCCCAAGACCCGAGAGGTTTCGTGAAGTCCCTGGAGGTCCCTTGGGGCCCCTGGAAGCCTCCTCAGGCCTCCTGAGCGGCACTTAAAGCGCGAAGAACCCATGAGAACAAAAATTGTTTGAGGAGGTCGACTCACGACATCTGGCATTCAGTCCCCTTTTATCTCCAGGGTGGCAGTCAATGGGCCACCTTGGGAAATCTAGAAGTCGGACGAGGGGATCACTTGATTGGGAACTGCACCCCTAAAACCTGATGGCGGAGGGGGAAGGAGGGGGACGAGAAGGATTAGGAGGATGTTCCCGAGCAGGAGCACCTGAACGTAGCAGTGCGGCGGTTGTCCCAACTCGGACGCGTGGACATCGGTGGCCTTCTTGGTTTCGACCAGCATCCAGACAGCCTCGAGCGCCCCTCTGCCGCGTGCGTGCACCACAGGGCCACGGCGCGCTATCGCATCGAGAGCCAGGATGAGGACCACGGCTACTACTACCGGCCTGCGTGGAAGGACCGCTGGGACCAGATTCGCAGGGGCCGCTCGGAGCATGAAGACAACGAGGCGTCCGCCTTCCTGCTGGGCAGAGCCGACAGCAGAGTCGCCGGCTCGATGTGCAAGTGCCAGAGCGGTGGCTCGGGGGATCTGAACTACCAGTGATGCTCCCAGAGGGAGGATTTCCGTATCCTTATTAGCCCATTCTTCTGCGAGTCGTTTCTGGAAGTAAGATGAAGCAGCATTGGTAATACAAGGGGGATGATACTGGTGAGCCTTTGACGTGACGCCGCGGTGGAGAGGACGTTGTGAGGAAGTTCGCCTGAAGTTGTGCCAGGATGCGCCATCGGGTGCCCCGCCCGCTTCCCTGAGCGCCCTGTCAGGAAGGCACCCTCGGGGGCCTCTCTCCCCAGCGCGCCAGCGAAGAGCTCCCGTGCGAAACCGCCAGTTCGGGATTCGCCAGGAAGGCACGAGCGTGGGCCTGGCTCCCTCACGCACCAAGGGCCCTCGGGGGCGATCTGGCGAAGACCTCCCAGCGAAACCTCCGGTTCTGGATTCGTCCGGTTCTCCCCCGCGAGGTGGAGGCGTGGTCGGGGATCGGGGCTGGGTCCCGGCGGGGAATTGTCTGGTGGGTGGTCCCTCGGGGGCGGCAAAGAGGGGGGTGAGGACTGGGGGGGGGTGGATAATCATGGCGGGGGCCATGATATTTCCCCAGATTTCATGACTCCTCTTCTTAATTCATTACGTCCCTGGCCCCCCCGCTGGGCCGCGCACATGCCGCCGGTCATGATTTGCACCCCCCTCTCTTGGACACCCCCCTCTTGGCCGCTCCCGAGGTCCCGGGACCGGAGGTCCCAGAGGGTGGGGGTGTTGGGCGAGGTGGAGGCGCGGTGGGTACGTATTCAGGCTCGGATTGTCGGGACAGGGGTCCCCACAGCAGAAGTCCCAGAGAGTTGAGGGGTCGGGCGAGGTGCAGTCGTTGTGGGCGGTCGGATCGGCTCCGGGCGAGGACTTGTCGGGTGGGGGTTCTGAAGAATATAAGTTTTCGAGGGTGTGGGTGCCTGACGCCTGGGGCTCAAAATTATCAACAGCACAGTCTGAACTTGTCGAAGTCCTTTCACGCGAAGTAAGGAACAAACATAACAAAATTAATGAAATAAGATGGATCGATAATAATCGCTCGCTCGTAGTTTGGTTTACTCAGTCACGGGGGTCTCAGTAACATTCGGTGCAACACAGCAACGGGTGCGCGATCGTGTCGCAACATGTTGTCGCAACTCTCTTGCTACATTGGAACGGATCTGTGCCATGGACACGGGACCACCAGGGAAAGGATTTCGACCCCGTCTCTCCAGAAGAATCAGAGACGTCACGTCTGTCTCAGATCTCGGAAACAATGTGAACTACGGAATGCATGCCGCCATTCTGACATGAACGAAATGACATTCGCAAGCAACGCAAACGAATAAGCATGCCTGCCAGCCTCGTAGTCACCGTCTGCGTTCACCCTCAGCTCGATTTCATGCTTCAGCACTCCTGAACTCATTGGTAATCGTCACAGTCTGCTGACGATCGCACAAGTACTGGAACCTCGGGTTGGTGAGGTCGCGCCTGTAGGTACTGACTCTGAGTTCTCGCCGTTCTCAACATCTTCGAAGGCCTGGCGGGTGCATCCACCTCGTCGTTCCTACGGCCGCCCATCTTCTTACGCCTGCAGTCCTCGACTTCTTGGTGCAATCTCTCGCTTTCGTTTCGTTAGTCGTCTACCTCCTGCATTAGCATCCAGCACACACCTGCCACTGCACAACAGTACCCTGTCAGCGTGATCATAACGGTTAGCAGCACCACTACGAGCCAACGGAAATCCGGCGTCGCCGGGCACGTCATCTCTTGCCCGCTCGCGCCTCTGGCATCCTCCGCCACAGCCTTTGCTCTCGCCAACCTATTGGTCGTCCTGGTACCGCTGCTCGTAGCCCGCACCAGCTCCCTCAGCTGCTCAGCGTCCTCGCTGTCCTCCTATGCGTCAGCCTCGATCGCGTTCGCCTCATCGAAGTCTGTGGCCGCCTCGTTGAGCTTGAATGTCGGATCGTACATCAGCGCGTGGGTGCTCCTCCTCAATTTCCAAGATCTTCTTCCTCACTTGCAATTGTGTGAGTCCGTCCACCATCTGCTGGAACGTGTTTATCCAGCGCCATGTACCGTTGAACTCCTGCATCTTCTCGTTCGCCTGCATGACCTCGATGCCAGTCGGTCGTTCGATAAGTCCTCCTGCTGCCGCCTGGGAGTTGGTTGCGTCGTACAACGCCTTGAAGGCTCCTTCCAAACACCTCCGCCATCTCCGATCCCACGAACTGCAAATTAGGGAACAGCGTCGTCGTCGTCGTCGTCGTCCTGACGAACACCAGTGCGTCAACCGTGTTCGCCGCTTCTGGGGCTTCCCCTGCCAGGGATCTTCGACAGATCCGTACAAGTCTCTTGCTTGCCCAGTTTAAGATCACCATATGCGTCGCCTGCCCGTCGTCGATCCGGTCGTCCTCGGTCGCGGATATGATATAGCTTCCTTGGTTCTCTCCAGTTGGTCTTGTGACCCCGATGCGTCCCACTTGGACGCGTATCGTGTGCGTATTCCGACGTCGCCCCTCGCCTTCAGGAATCGCAGCGCCTTGTTGGCTTCCAGCAAACTGTTCACGGTCGCCTTGCTCACGTCGCCTTCGGAACATAAGACCGTAGCCGCCGACTGCACCATACACTGCGGCGTTGGCCATAGCATAGGGCCGTTGAGTCCGCGTGGCTGGCTGATCTCCTTTGGGTATCAGAGGTCGTTAGGATATGCTCGGCTTTCCTTCTGGCTGCTGATCAGCTTGACTTTGTGCATGTACGTCTCCGCCTTGACTTCTATCTCGTTCCTGGAGTTCGTCTGTATGTTCTCCATGCCGTACAAGAGAATGTTGTGCGAAAATTTCCACTCGCCGAACCTGTACCGCTGGTTGTGCGTCTGCACTCTGTCCAGGGGCGTGCCGCGGTAGGTCTGCTTGTCGGTCAAGTCGCTCTGGCTCTCAAGGTTCTCGCCACCGCCGATGAAGGCGTCCACGTGTAGACCCAGCACGCCGTCCAGCACGTAGTGGTTGCTGTCGTCCGCTTCTCAGACCAGGCACGGGTCGTCGTCCTTCATCTCGATGCTTTGTCCATCATGTGCTGTAGAAAAGCATTATCTCGATCGCAGCCTCTCTGATCGTCTGATTTCACTGCCTCGGCGCTCGCACGTCACCGAACGAGGGCTTCAATACCTGAGTAATCTCGCCGTCCTGCAATCCCATCATCTTTGCCAGGCGTCGCCGTATGTCTTTCGTAGGCCTGCTGAATATCCGCAGGCCTTCTTCTCGAATGTCCTTGGACTGGAGGAACGCGCTCTTGACGTCCGCCGCTAACATCTTCCAAGGACCCCTGGGACAAGATGAGCAAGATGAGATGCCTCGTCAGCGTCGGCCTCAACTTCTCGACCTTCGTGCTGGTCACCTCGTCTAGATGGAGTTCCTGTAAGATCAACCTCGCGTTTACCTCGCGAGCGCCGGCCTTCATCTTCCACTCGAGCAGGATCCTCATCGGACACACCACTCCTGCATCCACTGACTCCTCCTTGACAGCTTGTCTCGCCTGGTTCTCGATCCAGGGCACGAGTGCCTTCGTCATCGCCTGATCCAACTGCCTCCTCTCGTCGTGTGTCAACCTGGCCTCCACGATTGCGTTCCTCTTCGCCGCGTGCGTCAGGCAGACCGTGTCTTCGTCCTCGTGCAGCAGCAGCAACTCGTCGCTGCCGTTGTCGCCTCGCCTGCGCTCGTCGGCATCTCCAGAGGTGTGGACCTCGGCCGCTTAGCCAACGGTCGCAATCCGCCCAACCTTCTGGCCGTTAACGCTCTCCAGCAGTTCATCTCGTGAGTCTTCCGCTGTACGTTTCTCTCCGGTGTTGGTTGCCTCTTGTTGCTCGGTGGTCTCCACGTTTGTGGAGGCCCGTATTTGGCTTTCTGGCTTTGGTGGTGCCGTTTGCTCCTGATGGACCGTCTCAGCTCCCGATGGCGCATGCTGTTCATGCCCCTCGTCTCTTGGGACGTCACGCTCCGGAGGCACTTTTGGATCTCCATGCACGTCTGGTTCCTCGGTCTTAATATCCGCGTTGCCGCTCTGGTCGCACACCTGGCGCATCTCGTTGCCGTTCGGTTCATCCACCTTGCCGTCGTGTCGAGGCCGTGGGTGTCCACGTCCATGCCGTCAGGGATTTGATCGTCCTCGTAGTCATCTGATCCGCACATCGGCTCGCCCACTTAGTCCTTGTTCTTGATCGATCCGCTGATACATATCACCGAGTGCTTGAGCTTGTCCGGGTCGTCTGCGTGCTCGACTGGCGCCACAATGGCGGGCCCATTCAGTAGTTCTTGATGCCGCGCCTCCAGAAGTGCACGCACTAGCCGATTTGGAGCACCCTCGAGAGGGACCGGTTCCTTGCTGCCAACGCCTCTCGCATTGCGTGCGCCACGTTGGCCGCCTGGAATGCCGTTCCAGCATCCCTCCTGCGCTCTAGGTGCTTGTAGAACTCCTCGTCGTGCTCGCCCAGGTCGCCCGTCGTGGTGGCTTCGTCCGCTAGGCCGCCCAGATTGCGGGGCTGCCGACCCTGCGCTCGCTGAGCAGGTGTGAAGCCCTTCACGTTGCGCAGCCTGTTCCTCGTATCCTGCGTTATGCGCACCGTAATCTTCAGGCTGTCGTCCGGGTGGTCCGTGTAATCTGTAGCAGCTTGCTCGTGTCGCACGTGGTGATTTCTCTCCTAGATGCCGAGCTTGT